TAGTTTGGTGTCTGCTGTGATGATTTACCTTTTGTTTCTGATTTTGTTGATTTGGATTTGCTATGTCTTTTCTTTTGGTTAACTGGGCTAAGTGTTTGTCTATCTTGTTTAACTTTTCAAAGAACCAGCTCTCAGATTTGTTGATTTTATTGGTATTGTTTTCTTTGTTTCTGTTTCATTAATTTCTGACCTGATTTTTGTTACTTATTCTTGTCTACTAGGTTTTGGGTTTATTTCTTCTTGCCTTTCCATTGTCTTGAGTTGTATTGTTAAGTGGTTTATATGTATTCTTTCTTATTTTTTAATATAGGTACTAAGAGCTATAAACTTCCCTCTTTGGACTGCTTTTAAGGTGTCCCAGAAGATGTTCTCATTTTCATTTTGTTCCAGGAATATTTTTATTTCTTCCTTAATTTCTACTTTGGCCCATTCATCATTCAGGAGTATATTGTTTAATGTCCATGAGTCTGTGTATTTAGTAGAGCTTCTTTTGCTGTTTACTATAAGGTTTATTGTACTATGTTCTGATAGAAGGCATGAGATTATTTCCATTTTTTCGTATTCATTGAGATTTGTTTTGTGTCCCAGAATATGGTCAGTTTTAGAATAACTTGCATGAGCTGCTGAGTAGAAAGTGTATTCTTAGGTGCTTGGGTGGAATATTCTGTATATATCTGTTATATCCATTTCATGTAATGTGTCATTTAATTCAGATGTCTCTCTGTTTATTCTTTGTCCAGCTGACATGTCTATTGAATATAGTGGTATACTAAAGTCACCTACTATTACTGAGTTGTGTGAATCTCTGGTTTGTAGTACTGGAGTGCTGATTTGATTAAATTTTGTGCTCCACTGTTTGATGCATTTATCGTAATACCTTCTTGGTCAATTGTTCCTTTGATTAGAATGAAGTAACCCTCTTTATTTTTTCTGATGAGTTTTAATTTGAAGTCTGTTTTGTAGATATTAGATTTGTGACATCTGCTTTCTTCTTAGGGCCATTTGCTTGGAATATTTTTTTCCATCCTTTAAGATAATGTCTATCCTTGAAGATGAGATGAGTTTCTTGAAGACAATAAAAACATGGATTTTTTTTCTTTATCTACTGCACTAGCCCGTGTCTTTAGACAGGGGATTTGAGGCCATTGATATTCAGTGTTATTATTTAAAGATATGTATTGGATACTGTCATTTCAATTTCTTTATTTTTATGGGCCTGTTTTGTGTTTCTGTTGTTGTACCTTTGTTTTTCTTTTTGTAGCCTCTTGGACTATAATCATTGGGTATAATCATTCCTTTCTTTAGTCCTTTGTGTTGTTTCAAGTATTCTCTGTAGGGCTGGTTTGGTGACATAAATTCTTTTAGTCTACTTGAGTCATGGAAAATTTTTTATTCCCCTGCGATCTTGATAGATTGTTTTTCTGGATAAAGTATTCAGGCTTGGCATCCATGGTTGTTCAGAACTGGGAATACTTTGGTCCAGACTCTTCTTGCTTTCATAGTTTACACTGAAAAGTCAGTAGTAATTCTGATGGGTTTCCTTTATATGTAACTTGGCATTTTTCTCTGGCAACTTTAAGTACCCTTTTTTTTGTTCTGTACATTTAATGTTTTTACTACGGTATGCTGTGGGAACTTTCTGTTCTGATCATGTGTGATTGGTGTTCTATGTATTTCTTGAATCTCTATAGGTATATCTTTCTTTAATTTAGTGGTATTTTCTTCTATAATTCTAATGAAGATTTGTTCAGTGCCATTGGCATGAGATTTTTATTCTTCCTGTATGACTATAATTTGTAGATTTGGTCATTTCATTTTGTCCCACATTTCCTGAGTACTGTATTCCTGTTTTTTGTTTTTGTTTTTGAATTTTGCATAGTCTTTGCTTAAGGAGTCCATATCTTCAACTTTATCATCCAGACTTGATATTGTTTTCCATTTCATTCATTCTGCTTGTAATTGAGTTTTTCAATCCCGTGTTCATTTCCACTTGGGTTTTCTCCACTATTTCTATCTCTTTAGTGAATTCACTTTTCAAGTTATGAATTGTTTTTGCTATTTCATTAAGCTGCATATTTTTTTATTCTTGGGCTTCCATTATAAGTTTTATATTTAGTCTCTGAGTTCTTTGAGTTGTATGTCTCTGTTTTACTGAAGTTCTTTGATCATGTTTATAATTGTTCTTTTAAATTTTGCATCCTGGGGTTCTTCATGGTGGTTCTCATTGCAGTGCACTTCTGTAGGACTAGTGGGTTTTGTTGATGGCATATTTTCCTGTTTTTTCATATTGTTTGTGTTTTTGCATTGTTGTTTAAGCATGTGGACATTCTTTGTTGGTTTTCTGTCCAACAGGAATTCTACTCTGCTTTTGTTTAATTTAATTTTGGTTCTGTTAATTTTGTTTATGTAACTTAGTTACTTTTAGTTCCGGTATGGAAGGTAAATTGGTGGGTGTTTCAAGTTCTTGCAGGGTAATAGATTGGTCAGTGTCCTGGCTGAGCAGGTCTCTCTGCCTGTTCCAGAGGCTGGGATTGGTGGTGGGGGGACTACTTGGGGAAGGACTTAGGGATCTAAGGTACAGTATTTAGTTAGAGTGGGTTAGGGAGCTAGTCCTTGGATTTGAGGTGAAGGAATTGGAGCCTGCCTTTGACAGATGCTGGCAGGGGATGGGGTGGGAGTGGATGAGAGAAATGGAGTAGAGAGGCAGTGGGCAGGATCTCACTTACCAGAGTCTTGGCTGATCAGGTCCATCTCCCTGATTCAGAGGCTAAGAAGTTGGCGGTGGGGAGAACCACCTGTGTAGGGGTTTAGGGATCTATGGTAGGATATTTAGCTATGGTTGGTTAGGAAGCTAGTCCTGGGATCTGAGGTGAAGGAATTGGAGCCCTCCTGTGACTGACTGAGGCAGGCAGGGGGTAGGGTGGAGCTTGACATTAATCTTGATAACCATCCAGAACTAGACATTGCAACTCTATTGATGAAGACAGCACATTCTTAAGTCATAGAATATGGAGAAATCAGGAAAGTACTGACCTAAAAGATCCATCCCTAATGGGTAGCTTTCACATTGCTGGAAGGTACTATACATGCTATCAGAAGAGAAAATCAATCATTAATTTTTACCTAGCTGTGAACCCTGTGAGCTACGATAGCAACTGGCCTAGCCCACAGGCCCAATGGTGGTAAGAATATTATGGTAGCATAAGTAACCACCCTCTGACTAGATTTAAGGCCTGCTGCATGGGATGGAACCCATACTTGGCATTGTCATCTGGGCCAAGAACAAGTGCCTCAATAGGTCATGGACCTTAGAGGAGAACCTGCTACTTACTAATATTCTACTAGATGGACATAATATTAAAATGACTCCTAATGACTTATTGCTATACCCATGGGTTAGTGCATCTCTCAACCCTCCTCAGAGAAGTGTCTTCTTGCAGTAAAGGCAATTATCACAGAGA